TGTTGTTGTTGTTGTTGTTGTTGTTGTTGTTGTTGTTGTTGTTGTTGTTGTTGTTGTTGTGTGCGACATGTCTTCGACCTTTCTGGTCATTGCAATGATATGCAAGCCTTCTTGGTCATTTGTCCACTATCTAAGCAGGCTCGCCAGGAGATTGACGATCTAAAGCAGATGCTGGCAGCCAGAGAAGAGAGCCACGCCAAGGCAGTCACGTTATGTCACGTTGCAGCTCTGTTGGTATTCAATTGCTTTCTCAGTACAAATTTGGTTGTAGCAGAGCGCATCGTAAATGTTTCGCGTTCTCGTTTGCAGAGGGTCACCTTTCCCACCAGTTTGGTTGAACTGAGACCCGAGTCCGTTATTCACTGTTTCTCTGTCCAGCAGCAGAGAGGATGGTTGTTCTACCCAGGTGGCCATCAGAGAAATTTGCTTTGGGCTAGTTGTCGCTGCGTTGCAGGCCCTGCATGAAAAGGACCAGCAGGTGGAAGCAGTCGGGGAAGCAGTCGTGGCTTCATTTTTCGATACTTTCAAGCTTTGATTGTCGCACTATCCTCGCTTCCTGAAGCAACAAAGCTGTGCAACAAACATAACCTTGTTTATCATAAGGGATTTGCCTTCGGCCTTCTGGTTGTTGCAGCGCATGTTTCTTGATTGAAAAGTGACTGTGCTTTCCAAGCTAGCGTGGCAGGCTGCTCAAGCGATGGACGAGCTCAGGACAAAGGGCCAGGCAAAGCCAGTCGCGTTGTGTCACGTTGCAGCTGTGCTGCTATTTAGTTGCCTTCGAATTTCAAGTATGGTTGTAGTGCACCACATTGTAAATTTTTAAGGTTCTTGTTTGCAGAGGGCCAACTCCAGTCCCAAATGAGCCTGAGAGCATCAGCTACTAAGTACCCGGCAGCCCCTTGCGCATTTCCCACCAGTGAATTTGGTTGACTTGAGTCCGTTGTTCTGTCAGCAGAGCGAGGGAAAGGTGTGTCCAAGACTTTCGTCAACCAAACATGTGGAGATGTACACTGTTGCACCTTTCCCACGGTTGTTCTACCCAGGTGGCCGTCAGAGAAATTTGCTTTGGGCTAGTTGTCGCTGCGTTGCAGGCCCTGCATGAAAAGGACCAGCAGGTGGAAGCAGTTGTGGTCGTGCCACTTTCCTGCGTCATTTGGTTGTAGGACTTCCTTTTTTGTGGTTTCGGGTGCGTGTATGTTCTGCCTGCATTCCTTTTTCGGCTGTCATGTTCACATTTCCTTGCTCCTTGAAGCAGCACAGTTTGACAGAAAAACACATTGGTTTTGTTGATGCACTCTCATGAGCGTTTTGCATGGCTTGATCATGTTCGATCTTGAAGCCCTTTTTACATGTCAAGCAGGGTCGAGAAACCCTGGTGGCCCGTGAAGGCCTTGAAGAGACGCAGAAAAAGAGAAGAGCGTTTTCTTTTGAGTTTGGGTTGGAAAGAGAAGGTTTGTGTTGGAAGTGTTTGGGGTGAGGACCATGCCCTCCTATCAACAGGTTATGAGCCCAACGCATGATAGCTTTTTCCAAACACCACCTCCAGCTCCCATGATGCGCCGTCGACGAATGGCGAATGGCGAACTGGAGCCAGAGCAGCTGGCATTGCCCCCGATGGAGCCTGGTGATCATCCTCCCGCAGGACAAGAGCTGGCTGTGGTGGAAGAGGTGGAAAAAGAAAAAGATAGTAAAGAGGAGGAGGGAAAATGGATGTTGAGCACCCCTGCTCGAACCACCACGGGGAATCTGGACTCGGGACCGGCGACATTCCCGACAGAGCCGGAAGCATCCAAAAGTGGAGGTTCAAAAGAAGGTCAAATGGTGGGTGAACTTGAAGCTCCTAGGGGACGACCTATGACTCTAGCCCCACTGTCTCAGCCCTTTGAAGGCCAGCCGCTGTTTTCGCATGAACAGCTGAAGGCATCACGAGATGCCGCCAGGAAAGCTCTTCAGATCTTCGGTGCCTTGGTCCCGCCAGCCTCGTCAGGAACCTCAGGACCTGAAGACCCGATGAAAAGGCCGGAGTTCCTCAAGGACGAAGAAAGAAGGTTTGGGAAAGGAAAGGACCGAAGAAGGGGAGAAGAAAGGTCAAGCGAAGAAGAAGAGGGTGAAAGGGTCAAGATAGGAAGCCATCGATCTAAGCCCCCCGAACGTTTTGACCTGGGCGAACAAGGTCGTCTTCGTGAAGAAAAAGAAGAAACTTTATGGAGGTGGCAAATCTCTCAAAAGGTAAGGGCCCTCTCTGAACTCTGCCGCTCGAAGCAGGAAGAAAACGATCAGCTCCGCCAGGAACTCTATGAGAAGCGGATTCATGAAGAAGCCGCCCAAAGAGCCAAGGCTGAAGAAGAAGCGAAGCCTACAAGACCAACCTCGCCATACAACACCCCTGATGAAGGACCGACCATGCCAAAGCAGACCCATGAAGGTAGGGATGATCGTGGTCGTACACCTTGGTCCTACAGGCAGCCCACCTATGGAGGAAAGGGTTCAAGGTCCCGGTCCAAAGAAACAAGAAGAAGCACAAGTCCTACGTTCAAAGGGGCTTTGGGAGGTGCTGGAATTTCGACTATGGGGAAGTCTATGTCCGGGGGAGGAAAGGCATCCACTGAAGTTCAACAAATGGAGGTGATGACCCTCTTGGTGGAAAGTATGAAAGCCCTTCAAAGACAGATCTCAGAAGGTCATGAAGCACAGGGCACCATCAAGGGTGTGGAGGTGGTACGGCAGTTGGCCGAGTTGCCCATCCTGGGTTCACTTCAAGGAAACACTTCACAGCTGCAGCTGGGCGACTGGTTGCTGCTGGTCAGCCGGTCGTGGCTGATTTGACCGCCACCTCTGACCAGTGGTGGGAACAGACTTTGAGGGAGGTGGAAGCCTGGTACCAGGCACATCAGGCGATGGCGCCACTGGATCGAGTTCGCCACGAACCTGTTGCTCCTGCCTCGTTGAATGTGGCCAAATGGGCCAAGCTTGAAAGAAGAATGGCCACCCTCTTGTTGAAGGCCATCCCTGAAGCTCAACGAGATGAGTTGGTTGCCATGAAGCGGCTTTCGGTTTTCGCCATCCTGGCCCATCTACATGTGGCCTACTGCCCAGGTGGCGTGAGTGAGAAGCAAATGTTGCTTCGGAACCTGGAGGAGCCTGCAGAACCTTCAGGTCTACATGATACTGTTGTTGGATTGAGGAAGTGGTTGAGGTGGCGAGCTCGGGCCCAAGAAATCGGGGCTACAGAACCCGATCCTTCGATCTTGGTCAAGGGCCTCAATCGGCTCACAAAGAAGACCCTGGAGGGGAATGAAGCTCTTCGTTTTCGGGTTTCCTTAGCTCGCAATGCTCTTCAGGTTGACACCAACCCCACCGCCTTGTCAGTCACGCAGTTTGCAACTCACTTGATCGCGGAGGTTGACCAGCTGGCCATGATGGAGAAGAGGAACAGCTCTTCGAAGGACCCTGGCTCCGCGACCAACAAGGTGAAAAAAGTTGAAAAGGAGAAAGGAAAAGAGCTTGAAGGAAAGGTGAAGAATGTTGGTGTGAGCAACAATGAAAGTTCTTTGCCTCCATGCAAGTTCTTCCTCACCGGCAATGGCTGCCGAAAAGGAAAGCATTGCAAGTGGTCTCATGACCAAAAAGATGAACACAAGCGGTGCTATGTCTGTGGAGCCAAGAATCACCTCGCTCCGACCTGTCCGTCACGTGAGCCCTCGTCGTCCAATCCATCGAACTCTCCACCAAAGGTGAAAAAGGAGAAAGAAGATGAGAAAGGAAAGAATGGAATTGAGGAGGCAGACAAGACAGCAGCAGGAGGAGGTTTAACGATGGAAGATGAAAAGATGGATGAATTGCTGTTGGAGGCGAACAAGATGCTGAGGATGATGAAAGAAAAGGAAACATCCGAAGCCAAGATGAACAAGCTCCACCAGCAACTTGATGAGATCAAGCGCAGCATCAAAACGCTAAAGCTCACTCGTGTGAGAGAGGCGAAGTGCTCCGCAACCGAAGAAGAATCCTATGGCCTCTTCGACCTCTGGTGGCTTCGGATAGCATCGAGGGCCTCAAGAAGGTTAGTGTTGCTCTGGCAGATGGCCAAAACACCGCCCTGCTGATGACAGAAAGTGGGGTGATGGTGTCCACCAATTTGATGGTTGAGCCTATCGTGCCCTTGGGCATGTTGGTACAGCAAGGCTGCAAGATCCTTTGGAAGGGTGGGGCTATGCGGGTACAGCATCCTTCTCGTGGAGAATTGCCAGTTCAGGTGATTGCACCTTGTGTTTTTTATACTTATAACTTAGTTATGAGTGGGACAACTAGAGTTATAACCTAGTTATAACCTTGATAAGTTGCGTAAGTTCTACGAAAATGGCTTGGAACTTATCGTAGTTATATAGATACTTGTGCTAGTTATGTTAAAAATTTTGCATACTTATAAGTACAACGTAAGTATGACGAAAAAACAATGTTCCACTTACTTTCTACTTAACCTACTTATGGGTATAGAGGTTTTGAGGGTTGTCCTGGCAGTTGGGCTTAAGCAAATATAGACTGTGGGAGCATTTTTGTGGGAGGCATGGAGACGCGCACACGGCGACCTGTGCAAGACTACACGCACGCAGCGCATATGCTCAGCGAGGGAGTCTGGGCGCAGCTGCAACCGACAGCTTGTACACCTTGGACGCCGTGGGCGCGCTGGTCTCTGAGGTGTATAAGCTGGAAGCCTCTATCGGGCTCATTGGGCCTATGTAGAGCACTTACTGGGCGCAAGAAAACGGAGTGCCCGGAATTGTGGGAAAATTGTGGGAAATTGTGGGAAGACTTTGGGGAAGTAGATTGTGGGAAAGACCCTGCCAATTACCTTTAATAAGGGAAATTGTGGGAAGATTGAAAAACAATGAAATCATTTGTGGGAAATTTGTGGGAAGACCGGGACGGGAAATATTGTTTTTTTTGTCTTTTTTTTGGTGGTTTGGGGCTTCCGCGCCGCTCGTTTTTGTTGTTACAGTCATGTCTCCGACACCTCCGCAGAGCCGCAGAGATCTCTATATATATATATACACACGGCCCCAGACAGACTGCCGCGGCCAAGTCCAGCCGCGCGCCAACCAGTGCACACGAACATATATATATATGTATATATAAATACAGATGTCTTAAATATGCGGCTGCATCTGGTTGAAATTTACCAAAACACAGAAAGAAGCAAAACCTTCAAAAACACAACATGTTCTACTTACCATCGCACTTGTCCTACTTATTCGGTAAGGTCCATAAGTAGGATAAGTTGACTTATGTTACTTATAAGTATAAGTAGCGTAACAGGACTTATAAGTAAAAAAACACAAGGCAGGATGCCCCCAAGTCTCCAAGGCTCTGGCAATGGACCTCATCAAGGAGTTCGAGGACCACCAAAGCCGAATCCACCTCGCCAAGGTGCAGCTTGAAAGTTTTGAAGCTCGAGAGCTCAGCTGGTTGCAAGGCTATGGTTGACTCTCACCCGGCACTGCGAGACCTTCCTGAGTATGTCAAGTCGGCTCTGCTTCAAGAACCAGGTGAATGGTCACAGCTCCCGACGAATCGACACCAGCGGAAAAGGTTCAAAAAGAAAGGAGGTCTGACTGATACTACATCTTATGGGGGTGAAAAAGAAGGCTACACCCTGCAGTCCGCGATGGAACTGCAAGGAATGAAAGGTCAGGCCCTGGAAGTCGACATCAAAAGAGGTCAAAACCATGATATGGCTTCACAAGAATCACCGGCCTACAAGGCATTGTCGAGGACAGCCTTGGATGGGAGTGATTGGAGGTCCAAATTGTCGCTCGAGGTCAGTGCTTCGACACTACCCGGGACCACCTCCACTACGTTCGTGGGAGCATGAATGGGGTCTGCCTGACCTCACTGAAGCACAAAAGAAGTTGTGTCAGGATGATGACATCCTGATGTGGAGACAAATCTTCCTCTACCTGGTCGCGGACTTCGTGAAGAGGGCCAAAGAAACAGGAAGGGGGGAGAAGGAAGAAAAGTCGAAGCCCGAAAGACCCTTGTTCCTCTTGGAGCAACCAGGTGATCCGGTCGACTACATGCCGGACTGCGTTTCGTTTTGGAGGACGAAGGGATGGGAAGCTTTGAAGGC